AGGTCAGCTGAGAATGTGCACCTTCGTTTGGCCACCAGAACTCAAGCACCGGCCATGGTGATGATGTGGGCCGCCATAACAGCAGATGGTCGTTTTTCGCTCGTATTAACCGATCGTGGCATCAGAATAAATGCCGAATATTATCGCGAAAATATTCTGGAGGGTGTATTAAAGTCTTGGACACGCAAAGATTTTGGCCGCAGACCTTGAACATTCCAACAGGACAAAATGAAGTTCCTCGCTTCATTTCCAGCGCATTTTCATGGCCACCAACATCTCGGGATACCAATCCGTTTGACTTTTGTGTATGGAGTATTTTGGAAACTAAGGTTGGCACTAAAAACTACCAAAGTGTCGATCACCTCAAGCAAGCGCTTCGCCGGAAATGGGTCAAAATACCGCAGAGCAGCATTCGGGCAACGTGAGACGGTTTCATTGGCCGTTTGAAGGCCGTAATTCGTGCCAAAAGTGATCAATTCGAACAAATCTAAATTTATTCTAAAATTTGATGCTATTTCCGACATCATACCACTAATCGTAATTTATATATATATATATATATATATATATATATATATATATATATATATATATATATATATATATATATATAGCTTGTGAAATAGCATCAAATTTTAGAATATAATATAAAATAATTAAAGAAAGCAATAGAATCTAAAATAGCCAAAAATTTGTAAAAATGTTTTAAAATACACTTTTTTTATTTTTATTTATTTTTTTTTTTCATTTTTTCCTCCTCCAACCTTAGCTAAAAAATAATAGAATCTAAAATAGCAAAAAATTTGTAAAAATGTTTTTTTTTTATTTTTTCATTTTTTCTCCTCCAACCTTAGCCAAAAAATAATAGAATCTAAAATAGCAAAAAATTTGTAAAGAATGTTTTTTTTTAATTATTTTTCATTTTTTCTTCCTCCAACCTTAGCTAAAAAATAATAGAATCTAAAATAGCAAAAAAATAAAAATGTTTTAGAATACATTTTTTTTTTTTTTTTGAAAATTATTTTCCATTTTTTCCTCCTCCCACCTTAGCTATCTCCAAAGCCTTCATTAAACAGCAAATAATATCTTCAAAGGTGTTTAAATTTTCCATAAATTGCATTTTAGCAACAAAACCAACAACAACAACAACCCAAACAATGTTGATGGTGATGATGGTAACTGGCAGCTCCTTCGGTGTAATAGTGGTTTTTGGAGCCATGGCGGCATTTTGCAATCGTAACCGCAAAATTCACACATGTTCAGTTACTCTGCGTGCATGGGTCCGTCTTTTATTTAACTCCCCCCCAATGCAAGCAACAGTAAAACTGTTGTTCACTGAAAACTCAAAACATTTACGATACTCAGGCATACATACATACGTATAGGCAAAGTAATAATAATAAATTTTAAGATAAAACAAAACAACAACAAAAAACACTATCAGAAAATGCAATGCAAGCACCGGCACACTGGTTTTAACAAAAGGCAGCAAAAACAACAACAAGAAATTGAGCAGCATGATATTGTAACAACATCGTTAAAATGCCTAAGCGTTTTTTGTGCCTCTTTTTTTTTTTTTTTTTTTTTTTTTTTTTTTTTTTTTTTTAAGAAATGATTTTTCAAAGCAGAACATTTTCTAGAAATCATTGAAAACCCACCGACAAAAGAATTTGCACAGCCGCTACCCCCGGCACCACCACAAACAGCAACGCTGCCACCCCACACAACATTAACACGAAATTCTTGACATCGTCAATTCTCAATGTTTGTTTGCTCACTTGTCCAACAACAAACAAACGCCACAACAACGTCATGAAAATCTGCAGAAAAATAATTAACTGGAATTGGTGCATAAATATGTCAATATAAATATTTACTGAAGGAATTTTTGCGCTTCGGAGTTTTTTCTTTTGATTTTCAGGGGGGCATGTGAGAGGTAACCATTTAAATAAGTTTCTGTTTTGGAACATGTTTAGGGTGTTCAAGCGGGGTAAATCTATTGAATGTTGTATGGATCGTCATTAGTTCAGGAGGCGTTTTTTTATAGTCTCACAATTGCTGTGAAAATATTTATTTAAATAATGTTATCAATAAAGGAAATACCTTTTTGGTAAACCAAAAACAAAAGACTTAAGACACAAACTCAATTGAAAGCAAAAACAAGTTAAATAGCGGCAAAAAATACCCTCCACCATTAGGAAAGAATTTAGAAAATAAAATCCTTAAACAATTCTGTTAAAATTTTAAAAATACCGAATATAGCCGTTATATTGGGGTCTATACGACGTGGACCTACATAGGCTTGTTTGTCATAAGTCATTACCATATTCAAATTCGAAACTTGAAATAAACGGCGATAATATATGTAAAATCATCCAAATATGTTATATAGGGAGGTACCGTTATATCGGAGCTATGCGAAGACCTGGACCAGCAATTTTCTGTCACAGGCTGTAGCTTCCATTACGAACTTCAAATACGACATCTTAAACAATTTCGGTGAGTATTGTACCTAAACCCGTCAAAATACCGAATATAGGGAGGTATTGATATATGGGGCCTATACGAAGACCTGTACCTGCATGCACAATTTCCCATTACGAACTCTAAATGCGTAATTTGAAAAAATTCCGGTGAATAATGACGCTAAAATCATAAAAATACCGAATTTCGGGAGGTACCGTTATATGGGGCTATACGAAGACGGCGACCTGCACAGACAATTTTCTGTCATAGGCTGCAGTATCCATTACGGATCTCATATACCAAATTTGAAACAATTCCGTTAAATAATGTCGCTAAAATCATCAAAATACCGAATATCGGAGGTACCGTTATATGGGGGCTATACGAAGACGTGGACCTGCACAGATAATTTTCTGTCTTAGGCTGTAGTATCCATTACGAACTTCAAATGCCAAATTAGAAACAATTCCGGTGAATAAGGTCGCTAAAATCATCAAAATACCCTCCTACTTCATTTCGTTCGGAAGCTAGAGTGATTTCCACAGACGGACGGACAGACGGCCGGGCATCACTAAATCGATACAGAATTTTATGCTGATCAAGAATAAATATACTTTGTGGGGTCTAAAATCCCTCCATACTATGGTGGATGGTATAAACATATTATGCAATTTTTTCATAGGCCATTATATATTCAAACCTAGCAAAAAAGGACCTATATAGCCCATTTTTAATACAAAAAGTCGCAAAAGATCTTCTGTAAAAGGAACACTTGTTTCGGGACTTCTCTAGAACCAAGAACTCCTTAAAGACTTCTGTAGAAAAATACTATTAAGAAGTCCACTACGACGTTTTTTATAGAAAGAAGGTGTCTGGATGTATTTTATGGAAAGAAGACCTCCGGATCGCTTCTATGAGAGGAGGACTTATTGTTGGAGGAGGAGAACTTATTTGTATAGGACATTTTTCGAAGGCCTTTTTTTGCATACAACTAGCAGGATTTCTTTCTCTATAAAATATCTAGTAACTTTATAGAGAAAGAAATCCTCCTAGAGGTTTTATATACAAAAAAGGCCTTCCAAAAATTTCCTATAAAAATAAGTCCTCTTCCAAGAAGTCTTCTGTAGAAAAATTCCCCCTATATTTCTTATAAGCCCTTATTAAGATTTTCTAATAAGGGCTTCCCGACACCTCATTAATTTCTTCTTCTATTGGTCATATATCTTGTATATACCTGCTATCGAAAACTCAAATTTAATATTTAATTACTTACGATAGCGCATTAGAAGTATTATATCCTCACTCAATTTCAAACGCATCATTTCAAATTGTCCGATAAAATCGCAGATCCGAAAAAATCGCATATATTTGTACTATTTTAAACTCAAATTAATTATTAATTTTTTTTTTGCAAAAAATATTTAAAGACGTAATCAAAAAGAATATCATAAACTACCGCATAATTGCCTGGTCATTAATAGAAACAAAAAACCGCATATTGCCACCGACCACAGGCCATAAAAAATAATACAATGGACAATTCTGCTGACCACCATTACCCGGCACTGACAATATGCCACTTGAAAAACTCATAACCTATGATTTGTAAGGAAATTTGTCAAACTTGGCTAATGGTTGTAAATAAATTACATTTTTTTTGTATTGTTGTTGTAATGCGTTTTTGTATTTTTGTGGCAAGAAGAAGAAGAGGAGCTGTTGCATCATCACTATTATGGTTTGCAACTTGCCAAACGCAAATTATTCAAATCAAAATCAACGCATTAAAACAATGTAAGGAAATGCAAGACAATGGTGCTCCTCTCACAAAGGGAAAGAGGGGGAGGAAGGGAGGGAGAGGAAGTACAAAAAAATATATTTTCAGATTTTCAAACATCAAACCCCCATAGTCAAATGTTGGAATGGCTATCTCCGTTGGCTTGGCTCTTCCTTTTTCGGGGGGTACGTTTCTTTGATGATAACCAAAGAAGCTGTTGTGTAAGATTTGAAACTCTTGCCTGTTGGCCTGGTCTTCTAGAGTGCGTAATGGCACACATGAAAAATTGTTATATAAATGTATATATACATGTGTCTGTATGTATGTGTGAGTGTGTACCTGTATGTTTACACACTTTGCAATTCAAGTCAAACATGAATGTTGCAACCAAGATGCAACACCAAATGCAGTGCCAACCTATTTCCTGAATGTTGGAGCTGGGTAACCAAGTTGTGTTTTTTTTTGTAGCTGGAAACGTCTTTAGGCAAGTTTTCGCTTTAAATTTGGGTTAAGCATTTTAATGACATTTACACGATAAACCCATTTCTTTGGCAATGCATTTGATTCGCACATAAATTAATGGCCTTCGGACCGAAATGGCGAAATGACTTTATTTTTCATTTTTCTTTTTCGTTTTTTTTTTTGGTGAAATCTTTGCCAGGAAGAAATGTTTTATTTTACGTCCATTTTTTATATAATTTAAAGATTATGACATAATGTTATGAATTGTATTTAATGTTTTTTCTTTTTTCCTTTTCAGATGGTTCGTGTAGCTTTCCCGGTTCCCCAGCCCATAGTACGGTGGTCTTTACAAATGCCAATCTAACCGATGGCACTGTGGCTTCTTACTCCTGCGAACGTGGTTTTGAGTTGCTCGGTCCTGCCCGCAGAGTTTGTGACAAGGGTGTCTGGCTGCCAGAGGGCATACCATTTTGTGGTAAGTTCAATTCGGGATTTTTTTTATTCCATTTTTGAAGAAGATCTTAAAAATGAATGAATATATATTGACCTTCTCAGAGAATAGTAGATTTACTCTTCTCTGAGAAGAGAAGAGTTACTCTCTCATAGGAGAGTAAAATTGCTCTTTTCATTGGAGTGCATAGAAGAGTATTTTATGGTCTTCTCATAGAAAACCCGAAGGTCTACTCATAGGAAACACGAAAGTCTTCACATAGAAGACCCGAAGGTTGTCTTCTCATAGAAAACGCAAAGGTTTTCTCATACAAGTCCCGAAGGTCGTCTTGTCATAGAAGACCCAAAGGTCTTCTCACAGAAGACTCGATGGCCTTCTTTTAGAGACTCGATGGTCTTCTCATAGAAGAGTCGACGGTCTTCGTATAGAAGACCTGAAGGTTGTCTTCTCATAGAAGACGCAAAGGTTTTTTCATAGAAGTCCCGAAGGTCGTCTTGTCATAGAAGACCCAAAGGTCTTCTCACAGAAGACTCGATGGTCTTCTCATAGAAGACTCGATGGTCTTCTCATAGAAGACTCGATGGTCTTCTTATAGAAGACCTGAAGGTTGTCTTCTCATAGAAAACTCGAAGGTCGTCTTCTCATAGAAGACCCGAAGGTCGTCTTCTCATAGAAGACCCGAAGGTCTTCTCATTGAAAACCCGAAGGTCTTCTCATTCTAAACCCGAAGGTCGTCTTATAGAAGACCCGAAGGTCGTCTTATAGAAGACCCGAAGGTCGTCTTATAGAAGACCCGAAGGTCGTCTTATAGAAGACCCGAAGGTCGTCTTATAGAAGACCCGAAGGTCGTCTTATAGAAGACCCGAAGGTCGTCTTATAGAAGACCCGAAGGTCGTCTTATAGAAGACCCGAAGGTCGTCTTATAGAAGACCCGAAGGTCGTCTTATAGAAGACCCGAAGGTCATCTTATAAAAGACCCGAAGGTCGTCTTATAGAAGACCCGAAGGTCGTCTTATAGAAGACCCGAAGGTCGTCTTATAGAAGACCCGAAGGTCTTCTCATAGAAGACCCGTAGGTCTTCTTATAGAAGACCTGAAGGTCTTCTCATAGAAGACCCGTAGGTCTTCTCATAGAAGACCCGAATGTCTTCTCATAGAAGACCCGAAGGTCTTCTCATAGAAGACCCGTAGGTCTTCTTATAGAAGACCCGAAGGTCTCCTCATAGAAGACCCATAGGTCTTCTTATAGAAGACCCGAAGGTCTTCTCATAGAAGACCCAAAGCTCTTCTCATAGAAGACCCAAAGCTCTTCTCATAGAAGACCCGTAGGTCTTCTTATAGAAGATCCGAAGGTCTTCTCATAGAAGACCCGAAGGTCTTCTCATAGAAGACCCGTAGGTCTTCTTATAGAAGACCCGAAGGTCTTCTCATAGAAGACCCGTAGGTCTTCTCATAGAAGACCCGAAGGTCTTCTCATAGAAGACCCGAAGGTCTTCTCATAGAAGACCCGAAGGTCTTCTCATAGAAGACCCGTAGGTCTTCTCATAGAAGACCCGTAGGTCTTCTTATAAAAGACCCGAAGGTCTTCTCATAGAAGACCCGAAGATCTTCTCATAGAAGACCCGAAGATTTTCTCATAGAAGACCCGTAGGTCTTCTTATAGAAGACCCGAAGGTCTTCTCATAGAAGACCCGAAGATCTTCTCATAGAAGACCCGAAGATCTTCTCATAGAAGACCCGTAGGTCTTCTTATAGAAGACCCGAAGGTCTTCTCATAGAAGACCCGAAGATCTTCTCATAGAAGACCCGTAGGTCTTCTTATAGAAGACCCGAAGGTCTTCTCATAGAAGACCCGAAGATCTTCTCATAGAAGGCCCGAAGATCTTCTCATAGAAGACCCGTAGGTCTTCTTATGGAAGACCCGAAGATCTTCTCATAGAAGACCCGTAGGTCTTCTTATTTAAGACCCGAAGGTCTTCTCATAGAAGACCCGAAGACCTTCTCATAGAAGACCCGTAGGTCTTCTTATAGAAGACCCGAAGGTCTTTTCATAGAAGACCCGAAGATCTTCTCATAGAAGACCCGAAGGTCTTCTTATAGAAGACCCGAAGGTCTTCTCATAGGAGACCCGAAGGGCTTCTCATAGAAGACCTGAAGGGCTTCTCATAGAAGACCCGAAGGGCTTCTCATAGAAGACCCGAAGGGCTTCTCATAGAAGACCCGAAGGGCTTCTCATAGAAGACCCGAAGGGCTTCTCATAGAAGACCCGAAGGGCTTCTCATAGAAGACCCGAAGGTCTTCTTATAGAAGACCCGAAGGTCTTCTCATAGGAGACCCGAAGAAGAGCAGCTGGATAGTCTTCTCATAGACGAGCAGCTGAATGGTCTTCTTCTAGATGAGCAGTAGTTGCTCTTCTCCTAGAAGAGCAGTAGTTGCTCTTCTTCCAGAAGAGCAGTAGTTGCTCTTCTCCTAGAAGAGCACTTGTTGCTCTTCTCATAGAAGAGCAGATGGGTTTCTCTTACCTCTATCTGACCTTTGTAAAAAGTAGTGCTTGTCTCTTAAGTCTTTTGTTAGCATCGCAAATGCATGTGGTATGGCATCAAAAAATGTTGATTTCTTATTTGCTGCCTAACTTGTCATTAAAGAAACAGTTACAATTTAATCTTTGTTATGAAAGCTGGCTAACGGAAAGCCAATTAAATTTCTCCAGCAGCTTGTCACACACACACGCAATTTTTTTTTACAAAAAGTATCAATCAAATATCAAAAAATTTATAATTGGTGATATTGGTTTCATTGTTAAATCCCAAAATCCATTCGAAAACATAACTGACAGGAAAAGCCTCCGCAAAATAGCTACTGTCAATTTTCAAATGTCGAACAACAACAACACCAGTCAGCCGACTCAAGTGGAGATGCAAATTTTTGAGGTGGCATGCCGTCAAGTGACCCATTCTCCATGGAGATTGGTATAAATCTCGGTTACTTTTGGTTTTTCTATTTCATTTTCAAATGTTTTTCTTGTGTGTAAGTGAGTATCTGAATGGAGAAAAAAATAACAATAACAAACCATGGCATTCTTTGGCTTCAAAAATTGGAGCAGAAACCAAAGCCACAAACGAAAATGTTGCTCTAGTTCGGTTACACACCAAAATTTATGGGGAAGCATCAGACCGACCAAAAGCCATTCCAAGGAAGAGAACAAAGAAACGCCAACAAAGAATCGACAAAATAAGTTATCTGTCCACAATTGGCATAGATCGATACATGATGTTAAGTCATGTTATGGCGAAACGAAAAAAAATTAGCAACATAACACAAATTTTTGGATTATAAAGACATGGGAAATTTGACCCACTTTTTGTTCGCTCTTGTTGTTCTGAAGAGTGTGTGTGTGGTCATCTCTGGGTCTTTTGTTAAATAAAATAGCATGACAATTATATTTGTGTCCAAGAGTCCACAAAAATAACACCGAACTAAACATGAACATCGAAAATAAATCAAGATTGATGTTTTGTTTGTTGTTGGAGGTGGTGAAAACATGGAATGCATTCTTTTTTTTAAAACCCAAAAATCGTGCACTTAATAGTCTTGCCTGGCATGCAGAGACATGCAGTGAAAACGCAAACCAAAAAATATTTAAATTAGATTTTTGAAACTCTAAAGGGGATCACTTGGTGTGATTGAAAAGTAGATTTGATGTGGAAACTCCCATTATTCCAGGAGGCCAATTTTTTTCATAGAAGACCGAAACTTTGCATGGAAGGCCAAGGTGTTCTCAATAAAAAAATATATAGAGAAGATCATAGTCGACGAAGATCATATGATCTCCATAGCAAACCAGAAGGTCTTTCACGATAGGAGACCAGAGGGTCTTCTCGATAGAAGACCAGGAGATCTTCTCCATAGAAGACACGAAGGTATTTTCCATAGAAGACCAGAAGGTCTTCTCCATAGAAGACCAGTTGCGGTCTTCTTCATAGAAGACCAGATGTTCTTCTTCTCCATAGAAGACCAGATGTTCTTCTCCATAGAAGGCCAGAAGGTCTTCTCCATAGAAGACCAGAAGGTCTTCTCCATAGAAGACCAGTTGCGGTCTTCTCCATAGAAGACCAGTTGCGGTCTTCTCCATAGAAGACCAGTTGCGGTCTTCTCCATAGAAGACCAGTTGCGGTCTTCTCCATAGAAGACCAGTTGCGGTCTTCTCCATAGAAGACCAGTTGCGGTCTTCTCCATAGAAGAAGACCAGTTGGTCTTCTTCATAGAAGAAGAACAGTTGGTCTTCTTCATAGAAGAAGAACAGTTGGTCTTCTTCATAGAAGAGGAACAGAAGGTCTTCTCCTTAGAAGACCAGAAGGTCTTCTCCTTAGAAGACAAGAAGGTCTTCTAGATAGAAGACCAAGGGGTCTTCTAATAGGAGACCAGAAGGTCTTTTCATTAATGATTTCATCTTTTCCATAGAAGACCAGTTGCGGCCTTCTCCATAGAAGACCTTTTCAATAGAAGACCCGAATGTCTTCTCCATAAAAGACCAGAGGGTCTTCTCCATAGAAGACCAGTTGCGGTCTTCTCCATAGAAGACCAGTTGCGGTCTTCTCCATAGAAGACCAGTTGCGGTCTTCTCCATAGAAGACCAGTTGCGGTCTTCTCCATAGAAGACCAGTTGAGGTCTTCTCCATAGAAGACCAGTTGCGGTCTTCTTCATAGAAGAAGAACAGTTGGTCTTCTTCATAGAAGAAGAACAGTTGGTCTTCTTCATAGAAGAAGAACAGTTGGTCTTCTTCATAGAAGAAGAACAGTTGGTCTTCTTCATAGAAGAGGAACAGAAGGTCTTCTCCTTAGAAGACCAGAAGGTCTTCTCCTTAGAAGACCAGAAGGTCTTCTCCTTAGAAGACAAGAAGGTCTTCTAGATAGAAGACCAAGGGGTCTTCTAATAGGAGACCAGAAGGTCTTTTCATTAATGATTTCATCTTTTCCATAGAAGACCAGTTGCGGCCTTCTCCATAGAAGACCTTTTCAATAGAA